GGACACGACGCCGTCACCGGCCAATAAACCTATCTACGTTACGAGTATCAGCTCTATACTCTGTCATTTCTCCGCGGAAAGGAAGAAAACGTTCGGCGGCACTTAAAAACTCGTCGCCGATGCGGGAGAAGGGTTTATAATTGCCACATAACGAGCCTGTCCGATGATTAAATAACATCCAGCTAGCAGGAGCCTGCTGCGCCCGTGAATAACACCTCGCAGTCGGGCCCCTCGGAAAAACGTATCGACCGGCTCTAAGAACTTCATGATTCGCGACAAAGGCGGGTCGGTAACGAGCTCGGTTATCGCACCGAACATTCCGCTCGAGCGTTCGCCGGCTATGTTTTGCGGGACGCCGGCCGGACACTGTTGAAATTTCCAGCACGCCCCGGGGAACAGCGATGAATCGATCGTGGGACGGGTTCGATCGAGCGCTCGCGATCCAGAATTTCAACCAATTTGTTGGCAGTTTTAGCTCGATACACGATTTACGGAAATCCCCGTTTGACCGGGACTCGAACGACTTCATCTCCGTTCGATCGTCGTTTCCCGGGGACTTTTACAGCCGGCCGAGAGCTTTCTCCGGTTGATCGGCACGTTTCGGACACTCGGTAAGTGAACGGCGTCGCTGACAGAACGACGGCGAGGCTACCATTCGCGACGCCATTGTCGGTTTTGGTCGGCCGGCGGGCATTGTTTAGCATCCCGCGGATTCAGCTGCGTTGACTCACGCGATCGGCTTCCGTCCGCGCGCGATTCGATCGGAGTCATCCACTCTCGCGCGCTGATTTTGGCGCGGCGGGCAATGGCGTCATCGCGCGACGAGTTTCAATTCGCTTGCGCGTTTCCTCCGTGACTAGTCGAATCGAATCGAATCGCGTCGCATCGCCGGGACGCTTTCGCAACGCGATCCGATCGACCGATTGTTAATGGAATAACCGCGTCATAGGTCGACGCGCAGCTCGCCGGGCGATCCCTCCGCGCCGTCTTTTCCTCGTTCCTCTCGCGCGAGAACGGACGGAGAAGGTTCCGGGGAGCCGGCTGACGGCTTTCAGCGTTTCCGATGACATTTTCCGCACGATTCTCTCGCTCGAGCTGGCGAATGGCTGGCGGATGCCGAGGAAAAAGGGCGAGGCGGCGCGGCGTGCTCGCGAAGCAGCGAAACGCTTTCGGAAAATCCATAGCGTGAAGGAATATACAGGGTTCCAGCGTGGCGGAACACAATGGCGCGTTGTTAGAAAGGTAGGGCGATAAGAGCGAGCAAGAAAGAGAGGGACTCGCCGGGGGAGGAGAGGAGAGAAAGAGAGACGGCGAAGAGAGAGAGCCAGAGGAGAGCTTGCGGCGTCGGTCCTTGCCCCGAGTACGTGCTTCGAGTGACAAAGCTTCCAGCATGAGACCGACCGACCGACCGACCGTACGGACGCCGCGCCGCACGGAACGATACGGCGCATCAAGGTCCTCCGCGATCGATAGGCTCACGCTCGTCCAAAATCTGACGCTCGTTTCCCTATTTTCCTTCTGCCACTCATCTCCCTTATCCTTCTCCTGCTCGAACGTTCCATCCGCGCCACCGGTAATCCTCCAATTCCTCGTCCGATACGTTGCGAGTCCCCCAAAGCAAAAAGTCCGTTCGTCAAACCGCAATTTAACCCCTGGAAATACCCGATTCGCGGCACCATTGTCGCTTTCCCTTTTCCACGGTCACGGAAACCGGTCGAGGTTCACCGGGACCACCGTCGACGAACGTCTCGGGGAACCGGCGAAAGTTCCTCGTCGACCGGCGGAGCCGGATGTCTCCGATCCCGAGCTCCCCGCGATTCGCGAAACGGGAGGGCCGCATTATCGATGGCCGCGCGACGTCCGAATTTTCGGCGTTATCTGCCGGCCGAGATCGAAACGCGTCTGGTCCGTGCGGCAGGCCATCCTCGTGTCTCCTCCGGCGAGAACGCGTCCACGATCGAACGGCGGATCTCGCGACGTCCGGGAGTATACAGTGACAGATTAGGGGGTCGAGGCGAGCGAGCGGCTCGTACGTACGTAGGTGTCGGCGAGATCCGTATCTGGCCCCATCGGGCAGGACGTGTCCGTTCCCGGCACCGTGAAATGAAATTTGACAGATCGGATCGACGCGCCTCCTTCCCCCGTCTCTCTCCCTCTCCCGCCGTTCCTTCGCCCTTTGCATCTTTCGGCCGAACCGCGCTTCCTCTCTCTTCGGTCGATTTCACGAGAGTTCGAGAGCTGTGAAATGGCGTTGCTCGCACCTCCGGGGTGCCCCACGGGCATCGAGCACCTCCCGCCTTCTCTCTCGTCCCCCGTCGCCTCGTGGGGCCGTACACCCCATTTTATACAATTCTCTTTTATCTGCCACCTCCCTGCCGCCGGTTACGCTCCCTCGGGGCGTAGTTCAAGCGGGCCTTCTTAGTTCCGAGCCGACACCTTTTTACAAATACATCACACAGCCTTCTGCCCTCGCAACCCCGTGTCGCTGGCCTATCCTCTCTCTCTCTCTCTCTCTCTCTCGCCGGCTCTCCTCTTCGGTTCGCGTTGTTCATGCGTTAGGGTACCGCGTAGTGGGTGCCACATTTGCCTAAGCACGCGAAACGCTTCGGGCCAGTCGCTTGCTCGCAGGTACTCGGACACCCATCCAAGAGACCCCTGCCGGTCGTCCAAGTGTCCCGGTTGCTGGTAGCGAGGATGTTGCCTATTGCTTTCGACCGACCAGGAGTCTTGGACACCTGAGGCTTTTATCCGAGGATTAACGCTAGATATACGGACGTTTGTTTTATACTTTATTCTATGGCTTCTGGAACACTACACGTTTGTTCGTATAGATGGCGGATATATCAAGAACAGAATTATAATTGCGTCAATCAAAATCGAATTGCTACGAAATATCTAAAATATTCAATTTCAAATCGAGCAAAGTGTTAACACTTAACGTTGTTCGTTAAAATGTACAAATATAAAATATAAAATTCATTACGACATAATAAACTTAGCTGCTTATACGCGTAATACGTGTAATTTCCAATAGTACCACGTTGAAGTCATCGCAAACAGTAAACGGAATGTAAATGGCATCACGTTGGTATCACCGGACGTGAAAGTGTTAATATTGACAGGTACAGAAGATTGCAATGTAGATTAGAGGATGTAAAACACAAGCTTCTGGAAGCACTCAGGGCTGCACCATAGAGATTCTTTATTTATTTAGAAAAGCGTGCTGCATTAGCAATGAACCCCCACGAAGCTCTCGGTTCTCGATGTCCATCGGCGTCGAAGCGAAACCGATGCGATTACGCGGCCCCGTAACGAGTTTCTTTCATTTTTTCTCTCGCTCCGGGCCCGCCCTTCGACCTAACGAGCGTAATCTGTCATCAAAGCGCGGGAAGCTCGGCCGGCCGATCGTGATCGGGCGCGCGCGACACCCCCAGACATTCGATCGAGCGACAGCTGTCCCCGCATCGAAAACCAAATTATATGCTCAAAGGATCGGCGATCTCTATTTAGATCCTTATCTGCGGCTCCTGATGCAACGCGCGTTGACAGTGTTGCCGAACGGCAACTGCGATCGTCTCCGACGCCGCGGCGGGTAGGGGCCCAACGGATCTTAATAACGGGACGTGTGAACCGACCGGCATCCGATTTCCTCGCAGGTTTAATCGTGTTTCTTTCGGAGTCCCGATAACATCTAATGGGGGCGCAATCGGTGACACGTCTCCCGTTTCTTCGAACCCGCTGCAACGATTTCGGGAATTCCGCCATGGCTCGAGGTGTTCCGGAGACGATCGGCTGAGACCACTGCTGCGGAAAGTTATTATCTCTTGCGTAATCTTCGGCTTAAGTCGATTAGCGAATTAACACTAGAACGAGTCGAAATTCCTGATTCTTTTCGCGATTATTAACCTTTTGCGGACGAATGTCGACATTTCGAGAGTCACAAACAAATAATTTAATTACTCAAACACCAAGAGATGAGCACGTAGTTTCTGTTTTTCCTGTCATTTAAGTAATTGGTATATAATTTATCTTCATCTGCTGAATATTTTGTATATTTCAAATCGAATCATGAATCAACTAAACTCTCAATAGATGGACTCTTGAAGACTTTAGAGAAATTTGAGAGTCAATGTCAGTGCTCGGTAGTTCTAACTAATCGGCAATTTCAAATCACTGAAAATTCTAGCAATATCTAAACTTTATCTAGAACCTAGAAATCAGTTACTCGTGGAAGACTCGATCTAACTCCATATTCCACAGTTTCATTCTTTCCCCAATTTTCCTCTTGGCTGTTAAACCCTTCATCTGGATGCGTCGCGAGTATCAACGACGAGTCTAACGGAATACACCAGTAAAACTCGAAACGAACGCGCCCGAGAGCGCAGCCGGTCGCCGCGCGCATTGTCCACGCCGACCGTTTCCCTTTTTTCGTCCGGCGGCCGGACTCGGCTCGGCTCGGCTCGGCTAAGTGGCGAAACGAAGGAAGGAAGCAACGAAACGCAGAAACATAAAATTGAAAAGTTTGACGTACGGCGGTTTACGGGAGTTTTAGAACGTAGTAAAGTCGCGCGTTATTTCCCCTTCCGCGGGTCGTTATATTTTTCTTCGCGCAGTTCACGGGCTATCCTCCTCGCCGAGAGTTTTTGTCCTCCCGGCGTTGGTCGTTCCCGGGCCGTTTGTCGTTCGAGCGAATCATCCCCTCGGTCCTTCCCGTTCGCCTCGTGCTCTCCGCCGATTTTACGAGGTCCGTTCTCCCTCTCGGCCGCCAGTTTTCCGCGAGCCATTGGTCCCCGCGACTGGCTCCCGTTCTCCTGGAATGTCCCCGCTCGCTCGATTTCCGCGGGACAGGTATTAGATGAGGAACGCGACGAGCGGAAATCGGCGAAACTATTTTTCGTCTCGTTGACTCTTCGGATACACGCCGGAATTTCCTATTTCTATGATCTGCCAACCCCCGACGACGCCTCGAGCTTGCTCTTCAACTAGACTTTCGATTCTAGGAATACTCCAGCCCAATTTCCGACTTGATATCGCAAGCCAAGAGTCGAGTCATCCCTGGACAACGGTAATTAGTACGGAACAAGAAATTCGAACGTTCCTCAGTACTGGTTAAGGTGTTGAGGATGTTCCAATGATACGATACTTTAGTGTCCAACTGAATGTAAGTAAACTTAAACTATCATAAAACTGTCAGTAGAAATTTAGAGAGCTTCCAATTAGAATCCCTCCGTCCTTCGTTAATTGAATCAGAAGCGCGAAGTCCGGAAAGCAAACATCCAGAAAATGAACATTTTAGCTTCTGAAATGATTCTACTATATACGAATATATTCAGAAGCCATACGGACTTTCCCAAAAAAAACGAAGAAACGAAATCCTTGAATAACTAACCATACCATTCCATTAAGATTTCTAACAATCAGAAAAATCCAAAAATCAACTGAACTAAGCGACTCGATTGTAACAGTAAGATTCCATTATCTCCCGGCTATTGTTAGCGGACGCAACAGTCGGAGTGAATCGTCCCCGAGGTCTATGAAAGAAGTTGTTCGGCATTCCGTGCTCATTGAACGGTCGCATTCCAGGCCAGGGGGATCCCCGCGGAACGGTTAATTATCCGAGGATTTTTGGTTCGAGCGGGCAGTGGTAGTCCGTGCCCCTCGCCGTCGAGCAATCTCTCGCGGAGGGCTGCCGGGAGAAGAGCAGAGAAGAGGAGCGAGCGAGCGAGAGAGAGAGAGAGCGGGCCTAAGGGGTTAGCGATGAAGTTGGACTCGCTAATGAAGCGCGTCCCCTCTCTCCGGCTAAACGAGTCATCGCCTCCGCTTCGGATATATTTTATTGCGCGGCCGGTCTGGTTTATTATCGCCACGGTCTTTCCTTTCTCCCCCGGTGCCGGTCTCTCCCGCGTTCTCTCCTGCCTCAGACTCTCGGCTCGGCTCGGCTCCACCCCCCGGGAGCGGTGTTAGGCGTTTCTGGCTAGATCGCAACCCTTCCTCACGCCCTGGAACACCACGGAGATCCCGTGCCGACCCTCCGAGGGAACAGTGACGCTCAACGAGCCGTTCCATCGCGCACGAGTTCGCGCGAAATAAAAGGGTTGTCGCGCCGCACGCGCGCCATCGGAACGATCGCGATAAGCCGCGCAACCCCTGTCAGCCAGATTTACGTGGCAAGCCCCGTGGACGCCGGGGTACGCGTCATTACGGAAGGACTTTGTTCGAATCGCCACCAGCCCCTTCTTTCTCTCGTTTTATTGACCTATATTAACCCTTCACCCTCGGCAGTTCGTGAGTTTCCTTGCGAACACTGGAGCTGTTAGACGTTGAGCAACTATTTAGAAGATGTAGACATTTTCTCATACCATCATCGAATGAACCGATTTACTAACGAGTATCCTGAAATATCTGCACAAGAAAGTACGAGATAATCCGATCGCACCGTAACTCCGGCGTTAACCAGCGTCGATTTATCGGGTTCTCCGAAGAATTTCCAGCAAGCTCGTCGGAGGAGCGGCGTGTGGGAACCCGCGTCCCCGAGCAGCGCCGTTTGTATCTAAGATCTTCGTCTTCCGGCGGAAGACGGGTTCTCCCCCGGCGCGAATTATTCAGGAGATATGAGAACCGGTGGCTTTTAACGGGACGAGCTTAAAACTATAATGCGTCCTAATCCGGCAATATCTCATGCTGTCTTGCGGGATTCGTCGCTGACGCGCGCAGTCGTCCCTATTTAGCGGATCATATATATTGCACCGTTCTCATCGGCGGATCAGCCCCTCGAGTTTCACCCTTTCGCTCGCCATCGACAGCAGGGTGGCCGTCGCTCAGCTTTTCTCAGGGAAACCGGTGTCCCAGCTTCGTGTCGGCCACGAAGAAAACCCGCGGACGACCAGATAAACGGGGAACGGTGCTCGTCGGGTTCTAAAGCGAATGATTTACGAGCTGGCGGTCTCGACTGGAAGCACGGCCGCGGTTTCGACGCGTACACCGTGCCCCGAGGTAATCAAAATCGCGGTTGCGACGGAGCGGCGGATAGGAGGCGGTAAGACGCTCCGTGGGACGGCGGTGCGCCGGCGAAGGGGGATGACGGGGGTGGACGAGCGAGCGAGCGAGCGTCTTAGCGGCACATCGGCATCTGTTCGCGAAGGAATTACGACGTAACTTTGTCTCCCAAGATAGCGGGACGGTTTCTCTGGAGCTGAGTGCTGCTAGCCGGAGCCACGGGGTATGAGGCGATGGCGCGATATAGTAGGTAGGATCCTTTGGATGGAGGTTAACGGCGACGCCGGTGGAGAGGGTGCGAGCAAGCGGCGAGCACGAGAGTGTGCATGATGGGTGAGGCTCCTCAGAGGCTTGAGTTTCCATTGGGGTTGGTTCTTGCGATATAAGCTCTCGCAGCCGCAGAACCACCAGCCAGCCGGCCCCCGAAAGCCCCTCTAACCCCCTCGAAAGCCCGGCATCTCTCGCAGCTCCACCACGCAGCTCGCCCGCAGACCCCTACGAGACATACAGCATACCCACTATCACCCACAGATAGTGGTGGTTCGGGTCGTCTCTCGGTGTGCTACGGGGTGTCGCGAGCCTCATACATATTCAGCGAATGCATCACCCTCTACCCGCTACGAGTCCACCACCCCCGCCGTCGCCACCGCCGCCGCCGAGGCCAACCTCCATCCTGCTCAACCACCGGTCATCTATTGACCCGACATCCCCGAGGGCTTGTCCCCGTCCGCCGGAGGACCAAACTTTCGCCGGCCCCCTCGCTAAACTCGAATTAGAGAGCAGTTTTCGGGGCCGATTGATGTTTAGACGTTTCGTCAAAACCGAAAAACGACTCGGCGAACGCGTTGTCCCGCGTTACGTCTGGAGTTTAACCTTCCAGCGGTTAGGTACCGGTTCCGTGAAATATAGAAGCGTAGTTAACCGGAGTGGCTGAAACTCGTCGCGATGGCCAGTCTCGATACGCGCGTTTATCGAACAGAAGACACTCGACGCTTCATCTCGGGTTCGCGGCGAACGTTCCGGCTATCCGTGACATTGGTGATCGGAGATCTATGGAAGTGGATCGACGGAACGGCGCGTCGATCGTGGGGCCGACGTATCGGTAGCGACGCGTGGCCAGCTCCGCTGACATCCGAAGCGACGGAATGGCCATTTACATAATAATCCGAGCCGCGGGAATAACACGTAATTGATATAAATATGCCGAGCGATGACGGCACCGACAGACGTACGGTAGACTGTGGCCGCTGGCCAGCCTATGGTATCCATGGACTGGCTCCGCATAACTTAGCATAAATAATAAATAATATTGTGAACACGTGCCGGAGTTAACACGCGTGCGTCATTAATACCCTCCTCCTGTATATACTTAGGCCGCGTATACCTGCTCGGTTCATTCGTTCCTTCCGTTCGGTCGCCGTTACCTGTTCGACGGAACAGCGCGCCTCCCTTTTATCCGCACGTCTGCGCGGAGAGCTCCTGCGGCTCGCGTGCCCTCCGCGATCCACGCGTATATCCGGCTCTCACGAGACACCGGCGACCACGACGATCCTGCCGGCGCGTCCACGGTAGCCGTAACTTTGGAACGGTTCGCGCGTTATCCGGTCCAGTATATCTCCTCCCCGGTGCTGCGAGTTTTAAAGGCCGGCGCACACTTAACGCCAGCCGAACGACACCGCGCCAACAGCGTCGCGGTCGCTTATACGTAAACGAGGACTCGTCTACCTAGCGGATCACCGTTACACCGAGTGATCGTAAAACGAAATTAATCTAATTGCGTTAGATCAAACATCAGAGTTCCTGATATTCCACGAAATCGTTATTAACCCTTCGTCCACTGTAGACTTTGGGACTCTCCGGTATACGTAGTAATTCAGTCATACAATTCAATGGCGAAACTTTTCAGTGCCATAGAAGCTTTTAACACTTTGCCGGCCGCTCATTCGCATCGCCAGATTCACAGGTTCTACTACTCGGGGTGATATTTACGCAATTGTTCGCACCATAGTTGCAATGATGTGTCTACCTGTACAAACGTCGATATCATCGTTGGCGAAAATAAGTTCTCTGATCGCTTCAGACACCGATGGTACCCATAGGGTCACCGGAGACAGTTGACACCCGGAAATCTTCGGAGGACACATCATAGCGTCGAAGGTGGTGTTAGGTTGTGCGCCGGCCTTAACTTCCATTCCGTTTCCCGTTGCGGCGCGCAACGAGGGAGAGGCTTCCCAGCCGAGTAGGTAATCGAGATGCATGCCGGTCTCGTTAAATCGGCCCGGTGAATCGCATTCCTCCGATGCTTATTGCCTGTTCCCGGTAATAATTAACCCGGTTCCTCGATTCCCGTCGGAAGAAGCGGCCGGCACAGGCGCACCTGCGTCCGACCGCGGCCCCGTCCGCCTGTCCGTGTGCGCCGCGCCCGGCGGGGTATGGGTGTCCGGCCGATACGACGGATCCGATGAATCGAGCACGGTGTCGTTTCGGAGAAAGGGGAAGCCGGCTACCACACCCTGACAACATCTTAATTCGCGATAAAGGGTATTAGGACTGGAAACGGACACCCGAGTAGCAGCGACGCCGGCCACGGACGGTGCGGAGAGTCCTCTCTCTGGAACTGGAACTGGAACTGGAACTCGCCTCGGATGGGTGTGAGACACGCAGACCCCTGCTCGTTCTACGTATCCACGGACCGCGACAAGATTAGCATCGCTATTCGGTTACACGCGAAACGGACACCCGGGGCCCACGGCTACCGGACGTTTCTCTTCTTGGTCATTATCGCCAACGGGACGGCTACGCGGAATTGCGATCGATCCTCGGCCCCTGTCACATTCGACTGGTAAACTCCACGTGCTAGGCGACGACGATCGTTTCCAGGAATTTTCTAGGAATCGCTAGCCTCGATCCTCTCGCTCCTCGCAGCTCGTGTGTCTCGACATTCCGTCGCGCGAATGTACCGAAGTAGCTCCAGTGCTATATTAACCCTTTGACTGCGGTGCATTCAGACATGGAACGGACCGATCTTGCGTTTGTCCACGACGGAGGGAGGATTTATGGGAATTGGCTTTTCTGGAGAACATTCTGAGCAGAGGTATGATGCCGACACGAGGAAAGCAAATGTTTGTTATTATTGGTTGAAACAATTTAAGGGTGACTATATAT